TTTTATTGTAATTGTTTTCCAAAATCTAAAATTTTTTAAAGGATTAAAGGAATAATTGTGCTGCAATATATGTTATGTGATGACAAAATGTCTGAACGGATCATATTTAATATTATTTCTATGTTCATTGATTCTACCAAGTTGTCTTTTTATCTGTCCCACATACGATGTACGGCAATCATTGCAATTTGTTTTGTAAACGATATTTTGAATGGAGATTTTCTGTCCTTGTATACTTCGATAAATCAATTTAGTTTAAGTATCTGGTTGTCACAATGAGTTTATTAATAAAAGATGTGATGATATTGATAATATTTGATAAAAACAGTGAAATAAAGATGTTTTCAAAAAATTAGAACCAGAATTATTGACGTGTTCTTTAACTTTGTCATTATGCAGTTTAATGTAAATCAGATATCTAATTCTTTTTTTTACCTGACTGAAAAAAAAGCTTAGTGGATATCCATTAATAATATTAGGTGTTGGAATTAATTCGTAGCGTTTTACAAGTGATGGGAAGTACTTTCATTAATGTATTTTTTAATGCTCATGTGAAATAAATAACATTCTTTCATTTAAAAACGCTACGAATTAATTCCAACACCTAATATTAATTATATTAACTCTAGATTCTTTCGATATGTGGGAAAAAAGAATATCTATCGACTAGACTGAAAATAGTATCTATCTTATGACAAAAGAAAGAATGATAGGTGGTTAAAGAAAAAAGAGAGATAATGATCTGAAAAGGGAGATTTCCTTATGAAACTAATCTATGGTTTCGTCATTTCAATTTTTTTCAATTTTTAGTGAGAGGTCAAAAAAATTTTAGTTTCTGTCTTTTTCAATCTCAACTATAAATTGAAATCTGTTATGAAAATTATTAAAAGTTGTAAGGATGTCTAAAAGTTTTAAGGAAGTTTTGTAATGTTTATCGAACGTTTATTATTGTCTAATTGCGCTCTTTTACGACATTTCTCTAACAATTTTATTAATGTAATTAAAAAATAATCCGATACTCAAAGAGTTCAATATTCATCTTAATTTCATCATTCTAATTTATAAATTAGCACGGTGTTTTCATTAGATCGGTGTGCGCTTGGTGCGTAATCAAGCGCCCGCGTTTAATCGTGAATGCCGCTCGTGAATCCTGCCCGTTTCCTCTACGCAGCCCGTAACGCGCTAACTATTTCTTCTTGTAATTTGAAAATTAAGATTCAGACAAAATTTTCGTAAAGGAAAAATCGTCTCAGAATTAGATCAGAAATATATCCCTTCAGAGACATCTGGATTAGCCTGTAATAAAATAAATAAGTATAACATATAACTAAAATGTATAATTATTATATCTGAATATTATATAGCAATTATATAATAAATATTGATACATGTTAGTACATATAATTCCAAAATATCAAATATATATTATAAATATATATATAAATATATATTAAAAATATAAATTATAATAATAATTTTTACAGAACTGATCGAAATCTCACATGATATAGAAGTAGCAACATTGCTATGTTACGTCCTGTGAACTTCACGATTCTTTTCTTTTATGAAAAATGGATCGCCATCATCCTTATGTCAATTACAAATTATAATTAGTTATCAATAATCGCTAGACTGTTTACAGAAAGAATTAAAGAGTAATCAAATTTTTTTTTATCTCATATCGAAATATCAACCACGGAAAGTTGGAGGTGATAAAATTTCAAACGTAGAGACCACGGTCTGCTCAAGACAAAGAGTCGTAGCAGAATAGACGCATAAATAATTAAATCAATTCCTGGTAGAAACTCCATACCCTTGCATTAAAACGCAACGAATATCGGCGACCAACGTTAACTCTAAATAAAAACTAGATATCAAGTTTGCTGCAGAGATTTTAAAAATCATAAACTAAACTTTTGAGACGAAGAGGAATTTTATTTATCGTCATCCAACACCGTGGATTCGTAACTGATCTTTCTGTAAATATGATTCTAAGAAGAGACCATGAATCTAGTGATAATAATTTTTAAACGAGACAATCAAAGTTTACACTAGCTACCCACTCCTATCCTTGGCAACACTACCTCAAAATTGACCCCAACCCAAATTGAATCCCAAACAAGAAACAGGGCGGATGATTAGAATCAATCCCATCAATAGGATTCTCGTCTATCTCTAAAATATTTAAACAAAAAATATGGCAATTCTCCAATAAACGATCATAGATCAAAACTTATACTACAAGCGAACTTATGCTACAAGTTGATTTTATAACCCCTTTAATAATTATCGAGAATCTTGACCGTCTATTCCCTCTAAGAAGCAAATCCCGTTAAACAAAAATCTTAATTTGTCAAACTAACATTCCACAACGATCCACCCCCAAGGATCTCTATAAACCGCGATCTCGCAAGCCGAGCACAGTGGTGTTGTTAAAAAAAAAAGTAAGCACAGTCGATCAATAAGTGCAACAATTCAACAATTTAACTTTTGTTGTTTTCTTATTTCTTTTTTTCATTTTTTTTTCTTATAGCACGTTATGCATCTATCATTATTATTTCATCATAATCAATTCCCCTTCCAGTCTCTGTATTATTCCCTTTAATCTTTCACTTCCATCCTTCCTCAATAGAGATCCTTTAATAGATCGTCTATCGTCGTCGCTCTCCAATATTCATCGAATTATTCCATGAGTTCTATATCCACTACTTAGAAGATCGCATAATCCGCGAACTTCAATCCCCCATTCTGCCATTTATCTGTCGAATACTCCTATTTCCTTCTTATTTCTTTTCTTATGCAAAGCCTGGTATAAAACGATTATCTTTTTTTTCCTTAAATCTCGTGAATGACCACAATTCATACCTTTTTCATTCATACCTTTCCCAACGAGCGACTAAACGCCAAAAATGCCAATGAATCAGGGAGGCTTGTCGGCTTCTAGATGAAGCCTATCGCCAATTTCTGGTTAGTTTAAATAATAACAATAATATAAATAATAATAATAGTTTAAATAATAACAATAATATAAATAATATAAATAATAATAATAAAATTAATAATCATAATATTAGTCATAATAGTTTAGATAATAATATGTAGTGTAATGTGACAGACATTAATCGTAGACCTTTCTACCCATGTTCTCCACTCCCTAATGCAGAGCCTATTCCTTCCGTCCTAACCCAATGAATTTTTCCTGACCCACCCCCCCCCCCACGACCACTCGAGTGGAACTTGTAACTGAATTTCCTCCACTTCGTCTCCGTTATTACTATCATCATGGCTATCATCAATCCTTCCCTTTTTTTTACAATCTCAAATTTCCACTGATCCCTTTTCTCCAGACACCATCACTATAATCTTTGAAAACGCAGATCCCGACCAAGTTCGAAATGCCACAACCGGCCAGTCTCCTGATGCCCACATTCCTGTCTTCTTGCTTCACTCACCCCATTTTTTCCTGGTCCACGTGATATTTTTTTTTATTTCTTTCAACCCTCTTCATGCTCAATCAGTAAAATTTTAGAAATCTTAATTTTAGTTTTAATGTCCATCCGCCGTGCAAATTCTTTCCTTTGTACGCACGCGCGCACGCACGCAGGACCAGACCCCCACGTCCATGTCGTTGATTTTGTATTACGCTAAGAATAAGGAATTATACTACACATTCTGTAGTAAAATAAAAATCGTTTTATACATGAGTACATATCTTGGACATTATACATACATATATGATAATATGTAATTATATTTAGTATGTAATTATATTTGGAATAATTTTGTGGCATATACAAAGTGTCCCATATATCATCCGACAACGCTTGTGGCTGATAGAGCAGACTAAATTGAGTTGAAGAGTTCTTTATCATTTTATAATTTTCGCAATAGTTAACAAAATGTTATTTATTAAAAATCACAAAATATTGGTTTTTAATAATTTTTTACTCAAATACTCAATCAACTTTACAGAAAAACGGCAAGAGACAAAAATTTATTTTTTTCTCATGAAGAGTTCTGAGAATTTTTTCAGAATTTTTTAATATCGTATTTTCTCATGTTGGTAAAAATAAATAAATACAGTACTAAAAAGATAGTAAAAAATTCTGTAAAAATTTTTAAAGTTATATGAGAAGAAAATAAACAATTTTGTCTATTTTTCTGTAAAGTTTATAGTATTTGAGAAAAAAATTATTTAATATCAATTTTCAACATTTTTTTTTTTTTAGTAATTAATATTTTAATTATTGCGAAAATTGCAAAATGTTAGAAGACTTTTCGACTCAGTTTAGTCCGCTTTACCTGTCCACAAGTGCTGTCGAATGAATTACAGAACCCTCTGTATAATTGTATAGGGAATATAAAATGTTTCGAGACGATAAAATATCTCAAAAACCACAAATTTTATTTAAAAAAATATTTTAGATGAAAGTTGTAGAATTTAAAAAAGCCTAGCCACTTATCAATTTGATTTTGGCGTTACCAAACTAGGGCAAAGTTAACTCGGATTTTTTAAGCAAGACCCTCCACTTTTTCTTTTATTTTCTTATAGTTCTTGTTGAAACCTTTTCAAAGCACTGTAATTTTATTCATTTTAAATCAATTGTTTCGAAGTTATTGAGCATTTTATGAGATGTCAGTGACTGTAGACAAATCAAACACGAAAACTGTTAACTTTTTTGCTCTAAAACTTATGTTTTATTTAACAGGTCATAAGCTATAACATATGGGAAAATCATTTGATTTCATTAGAACCCAGTTTCGTATAGGATAGATTAGTGCGAGGGTTTTTTTTAATATAATAAATATATATTTTCAGAATTTTCGCTAAAATGTCAATTTCAGCAAAATTTTTGTGAAATTTCAGCACAATTTTTTCACCAGATCAGATATGTTATATTAATGAGGTGAACATTCTATGAATATCTTATAAAATCTGTGAACATTCATTTACTGTCTGGAAACGTACATCATGTTATGAAGAAGCTTTGATATCTTACCTTGACGAGGAACTGTGACAAATACGCTCTTTTCTGAACTGTATCGATATGCATCAAAAGCCATTTCAATATCGGATGAATAATTTCGACTTCACCTCGAACTAAACCTTGTCTAAATTAAGGACAACATTAGGATAATTATACCAAAGAGGGGACCCCACTCCAATGACTTTGACTTTGACGTATTGACCTTGATATATTGTCAAGGTCATGCTCTTGAGAGACCTATAATAGGTTTCAGCCATTGCTCGTTATTCCTTAAAAAAGTATTAATAATCGGTAGTTATTTGATAAGTATAATATATAAATATGTAAGATAATAAGACTTAAAATAAATCATAAAAATAATAAAAATAAAAACTAATGTAAGATGATAATGTGTAATAATTATATATATTAATGATAATAATATCAAACGTTTCTCTCAGCCCTAATTTGAGCCCTCTCAAAGTAATGTTAATAGATTTTCATATAATTATTAAACATTGCGATATAAAAAGTATTGTTCAAATTGAAGCGCTTAATAGAACAATGGAGATTTGTCGTTTCCATATACAAGTCCAAAAATAAAATCATCAACCATCAATAGTATTTAGTAGAATGCATGTTTCGGTAGCCAGATATTACAACGAAAATGTTAAATAAAAATATCTGATGAAATATCTCAATTTAGTTAACAACTGCGTTATATAAAGTGTGTCAAAAATCTAGAAATGATAGAATATCCCAAAAGCAAAGCATTTTTGAAAAAAAAGATTTCAGACAAAAGGGTTGTAGGGTTTAAAAAGATCTATTTTTTATCACATCCTTTTAACCTTGAGTGGCGTCATCAAGGCTAGGTCAAGGTCACGTCGATTTCTTTAAATGAAACTCTATTTTTCATTACATATTCTTATAGCTTACCTCGAGAGCTTTTCAAAAGTATAATAAAATTTTTTTTTCTTTAAGTGCTTTTTGTGTTATGAGGATTAAAAATTACAGTATCGCCGGCATTACTCAAAGAATCCGATTAATGGCTAAAAACCTCTTGAATATTATTTAGAATCATGATTTGAATATCATTTGTCAAGATCGAGGCCATAGGAGGTTGTTCCTCTTATTTTTATTTTTCCACTAAAAATTCATTTTTACGTAAAAATGAAAATAAGAAGAACTTCCAATGCTTTGATCTTAATAAATGTTATTAATGTTATAACCTTGAATAACATTCGAAAGGTTGTAATCATTGTTTTTACACCTTGAGTAACATCAATGCCGATCGTATATTGTAATCTTTGACTTCATAAAAAAATGAACAAATATTTTATTAATAAATATTTTATTAATGTTTTGAAAAGCTTTCAAAGTAAGATACAAGAATAAAAAATATATATAAATATATAATATATAAAGAATAAAAGATACAGTAATGAAAAATAGAAGGTTCCATTTACAAAAATCGACGTGACCTTGACCAAGGAAATGTGATCAGTGAATAGATCTTTTTAAACCCTACAACTTTTGTCTGAAACATTTTTCTCAAAAAATGCTTTGCTTTCGAGATATTCGAGATATTCCAAATTTTTTCGCAATGATTAACGAGATATTAATTACTAAAAATTGCTGGTTTTCAATAATTTTTTACTCAAATACTATCAATTTTACAGAAAAAGTGCAAAAGACAAAAATTGTTTAAGACATAAATAAAACCATCGGCAAGCCAACGGTCATAACAGAACATAGATTAGAATTAAATCACGAATTGGATTAGGAAAACATTAAAATAATTGACAGCGAAAGATACTTGGGAAAGAGATTCATTTCTGAAATGTTAAACATTAGAATGCAAGAAAACTTATATATATATGTATAAACTTTAAAAAAAATTTGATCAATATGCTCCTCATAATTATGTAAAAGACAGTTATTTAAACGTTTTCAATATTAGATTGACGAATGTAATGTAAGGTTAACCAATGCAATGTAATGTAAGCGCCTTTAATTGTAATATGAAAACAGACCTTAATTGTAACGTATGTAAAGTAACCTTTTTTTGAAAACAGTTTAATGTCAGCGGTCATATACTTACCGAATAACTAAGAAAAATCATAAATACATAGTTAGACGTGGGAATAGAATGCTGCCAAACCATAGAGAAGGAAACTAAGACAATTTTTTTGTATACATTGATGTTTGCAACAAGTGAATCTATTAATGAAATTAGAATAGATGACAAAAATCACATTAAAAATCGTATTACACAGGCTCAACAATCTTAAACCTGGTAATTTAAGACTACCAGTTGCACACAACAATGGAAATAGAGGCCACACGAAACACGTAATAATTGGTTGTACATTACTAAAGATGCTCGAATTGAACTGAAACGTTCGAAATTTCATGTAAGCAATTAGGAAATACACGGATTACAAAATGATTACGCAATAATTATTGCGAAATTACTCTCACTTTGCTCGACAATTTTAAAATTCTTATTGGCAATTATTTTTACTAATATAAGAAAATACGGTATTAAAAAATTCTGAAAAATTCTAAAAAAATTCTAAGAGTTCTATGAGAAAAAAATGAACAATTTTTGTTTCTTGCTGTTTTTCTATAAAATTGATAGTATTTGAATAAAATATTATAGAACATTCGGCAATTTTTAGTAATTAATATCTCGTTAACCGTTGCGAAAATTACATAATGGTAGAGGATCGATTCAGTTTAGGCCGCTCTATTTACACAAACGCGATCGGCAAAAAATTGCGGAACATCTTGTATATGTATACAAGGTTCGATACCCAAAACAAAACACCGCAATATCTCAAAAATTAAATTAATTACGGTAAGGAAAAATGTTTCAGACAAAAGTAGTATACTTTAAATCCGAAGCGCCACTACGGTCTAAGTATTAAGATGTTGAACTAATATATATAAGTAAAACTAATATATAAAAGTAGTATAGTTCGAAGGGGGACAAATAATGATGAAATTATTTTTCAAAAAGATCAATTTTTCAAGGTTGCATGGAGGTCACCTCTACTTTTTTTAATGGAATGATATGATTTTTTTACAGTATGGTGTTCTTTTAATTATTCTGCATACAAAAATATTAAGGTAATGATACCAAAAAACCAATACAAGATATTTACAAGATATTTTATATTATATTCTGGCATTATTATATTGACTTAAAGTGTTAAATAAACACTCGTAAACTATTAATGTTTTTATAATCGTACCTTTACTTTTATATACAGAATAATGAGATGAATCAATTGATGGAAAGAAAACACAGTTACTTATTTAAAAAATTATCCTTTTTGCATACATATTTTTTTTAAAGCAACTATGTGTTTTCTTTCCACTATTTGATTCATCTCATTATTCTGTTCATAAAAGTATTAATGTACGATTATAAAAAAATTAGTTGTTTACGAATTATTTAATATTTTATGTCAATATATGTCAGAAGAAATTATAAAATATCTCGTAAACTATTGGTTTTTTTTATATCACTACCGAACCTTTATATGCAGAATAATTAGAGCAACCATATTGTGTAAAAAAATCATATTCCTCCATTTAAAAAAATGAAAGTGACCTCCATGTAACCTTAAAAAAAACCATTTTTTTTTTAAATTATTTCACTATTATTTGTCTACCTTCGAATCATACAACTTTTATCTAAAAGATTTTTCCCTACCATATTTAATTTTCGAGATATTCTAGTGTTTTGTTTTAGGTGCTCCACCTTCCCTAACGAAACGTGATGTATAAATATTCGATACTCCTACGGAATGTACGACGATCATCTATAAAATACTCAGAGTAATTATCTTTATAGTATATTATTTCTCATATGTCCTCAGGATGCACAAAATATAATAGCTAATCTTTGTTACTTATGCTAAATTATGTGTGCTTATATTTAATTTATTCAGAATATCTGTATAATATTCTTGCTCTATATCCTGCGTACTCGTTTAATGGATACTTTCAGAAAATGTTCAGAATATAAACCGGAGTATTCATGCATAGTCTGTTTGTAAAATTGATCTCTTTTAAGAACGTCTTAAGAACAGTCGCTGGGAGTCTAAATAAATACGGTTCTATGATAAGTGCCACCTTAAAACACACCTGTGCAGTGCATACCTAAAGTTTGTTTTTTCTTTTTATGACTCGCACACACAGCTGGACACGACAACGCTTGCCGCACAATGGAAGTTGATGCAGTAATCAATCAGTCTTTTCGGGAATCATTAATGACTTCTGGACACTGAATGCGGAAATGCCACGTGGCAAAATGCGATGCGATAACCAATGAACATTTTTGGACAATTCAATTACGATCAAATAAACGAGCAATATAAGGTGTTTTGTTAAAATATTTAATATATCAATATAAAAATATCAATATATAAAATATAAATATATTGAATAAATATAGAAGTTTCGGCTACACAGAGTTTTCGTTAGTATAATTAAATGAACATATCTTTCAATTAACACCTATTTCAAATCAAAGAAAATTCCATGTCAATTTTGATGATAATTGATGGTGTCAATTCTTCAAAATTAAAAATGCATGTCCATAATTAAAAATGCAAAATAAATTACTCATTTAACGAAAATTACGTTTAATCCCATAATATAAGAATAATTTCACGATTGATTTACCTACATTAAAAAAATATATAAATTCGTAAGAATTTCTGATTCTAAAAGAACTATAAAACGAATACTTACATGATGGCGTGAAAATGATTTCCTCCAAAATTTCTCCAAAATATATAACAACACTATTCGTTTAGTTACAACAGTGACGAAATAACGTTATGTCTATTTTCCACGGATGATCGAGAATATATAATTATGATTAATGAGAGAATGCAAAGTTTTCTTTGTTGTTTTATTTGTTGTTTCTAGTCGAAATACATTTCACTCGTTCAATCTATCTGTATTTTAAGAAATTTCTTTCAAGATGTCGAAATAAGAGACATTAAATAGTTCAATATCTTTAATTCGATTAATATCGTTTTTTTGTACTTTTATATGAATCATTTTTAGGTGTACAAATAAGTTTTAAAGCGTTTTTTGTATAACATATAATTTAAACTTAGAATTCAA